GCATAGTAGGTATTATTGCATAGTAGGTATTATTGCATAGTAGGTATCGCCCAGTTACGTTGTTCTTCAGGTCATGGTATAAGATGGATTTGTTCCTCCCAGGCATAACCTCCCAAAAACCTTGTCAATGCCTTCATGTCTTGCTTAACCTTATTAAGGACATTCAAATTCCAAAACGTTATGTGTTTTATGTTATTTTAAAATCTCTTCATCTTGTAATTTTCTTACTGAATCACTAAAAAGATAGGAATTTGTATCTGTGCATTTCGTGTGCTGCATGCCCACAAAAATTTCATGACGTTAAGCTATTTTCATGTTAAATAATTATACATTTCATTCTTTACTCAGGAGGAGTCAAATGAAGACTGTATATTTAAATATGTAAGAACTGGGTAATTCAGGAGACTTTAATTGGTTTAAAAGGCTTTTTAAATTTAGTTAAGCAGTTGTAATATAAAGCAGGACAGTGCTGACTGGAACTGTGTTTTGTCTAATGACTACTTATGGACTCTTGGAAAAGAACCTGATGGTCTTAAGTTCCTCTTTGGATTCGTACTGCTGCTTGTGTTGGCTCAACGTGCTGCTACTTTTGTCTTGAAAATCAGAGCCTGTTGTTCTAAAACAGAATCTAGATGAATTACTTCAGCCATGTTGGCAGACAGCCACTTGCTTCCCTTCTAAAATAGCAAGGTAATAATTGTCTGCAGATATGATGATCACAAATATTTTTGTGGATCTCTGTGACACATCAGCACTACTAGATAGCCTACAATTAGTTGATAGATTTTAAAAATAAATATATTTTCTAAATAAATACTACATATAGAAGAAATACGTGCAAACTAATTTCACGTTTTCTACATGCTAGGATATCTACAAATTGTCAAGCTGCTGGCTATTATTGGGATGAAGCTGTGGTGAAAGCCAAGTCTTATACCAATTATGCAGTGCTTCTGAAGAGTGAGTAGATCTGCTGTTCTCTGAATTCTACAGTTCTGAAAATACTTCTGCAGTATTCTTTAATGTGAATGTGTGTATGTTATTTAAAGAGAAACAAGGCACCATTTCTCCTCAAGAAAAACTTCTTTAAAAGCATTTAACATTTAACATTTTTTCCTGTTAAAGGTTGTTTTTTTTGTCTGCCTAAAACTGTGCCTATTGCAAAACCAAAAATTCTTTCACCTTCTCTCAGTCTTTCTACAGAACTTATTTTCTGTCTCTTCTTTCAATTTCAGCCTCTTACAAATTCTGAAAGTGGTCGTAAGTGGTAAATAAATCAAATTAATAATAACTAAAAAAAAGATTAAGAAAATGTTTTTTTCTAAAAAATATCTGGCATCAGTGAAATCAGTCAATTATTATTAAGGACAGAAAGTCAGTGGTATTTTTTCAGATTGCATTTTAAATATTTGAAGAGTTAGTACATAGCTGCACAGTAATTAATAATAGACTCTAATATGCATTTTCTATGAGGATATCCAATGAAGTCAGCTGGTACATCAGGACTGCCAAATCCAACCAGTCTACCATAACATTACTTCTAAAATGAAATATTTATTATATAAAATACTAAGTTTGGGATTTTATTTATTTACCTTCTAAAACTTCAGCTTCTACTTCGGAAGGTTTTGCTTGTTCCTCTGGTGCGATCAAACCTGAGGGGGGTCTGTCAAATGCCACAGACCTTAGAGACAGCCTTGCAGGAAAGAAGAAAAACAGGGCTTTATGTCATGTTCAGTACTCATCAATGCAGTTAGAGGAGTCAGCACTACTGTGTGTGTGTGTGTACAGATGTGTGTGCATATATGTATGAAACTTTGCAGGTTAGGAGTGGGAAAACACACATACTTCAGAGAATGTGTGCTTTCTCACAAATCAGATTTTGTTAATAGTACATATGAAAGTCTTAAGCATATCCCCAAATTGCTTTCTTGTGGATTCCTGTCAGTTCAAAATGTTGCCACTATACAAAATGTGTGATCCAAACATACAAAACAGGTATCAGTGTTTAGAAAAATAATCTTACTTTTTTGGGTAATGGAACTGCTCTAAGTAGCTCTGCTATTCTTCTGTCTGGGAACACAGATGTTTTGCAGCCTGTGAAATGAAGAATGCAAATTAAAATAGGTAAATTAATACCTAAGTATTTAAGTAACTGATTTTCCATCTTAATCAATAGTACCACCTCTAGGATTCTCATGAATGTTTGAGACAAAATGTGGAAGTTTGTAATTTTCCTTTCTGTGATACTGGGAAAATGATGGACAGTAGAAATCCTTACAGTACATTCACTGTACTAATATATACGAGGATGATATTAATTGGTCAGAAAAAAAGAAGATAAAAATCTTTTTTTTCTTCTATTTTTGTAAATAGAACATATTTTCCAGGTGAACAATGCATAGTTCTCATGAAATTCTACTATATTTATTACTTTTATAAACGGTTATCTTAGATTTCCTTTTATCATTTGTGTAATCATTAATTTGTAGTTAGCACATCGTTACCTTTAGATACTTCTCCAACACAACTCTCAAAATAGTTGTATTTTGATGGACCTGTGTATTCATTTTCCTTAACAACTAAATGTTCTCATTTCATACCAAAAGAAGTAGTCAAACTAGGATATTCAGAACTGCGTAGAAGATTATTCTTCATTACTTTTAGAGACTCTGAGATGCTGCAAAAAGAAAATGCATTTAAGCATCTGTATTTTTGCTGGCTTCAATGATAATACACACGGACTTAGATAAGGGTTTATTTGCGGATGCTTTGCTTAGGACTTAGGCACTTAGCTGCCAGGATCAGATGTTACTATGAATGCTCAGAAGCAGTGCTTCTGCCTGAGAAACCAGATCCAGCCACAAAATCTGAGTATCCAGTTCAGCAACCATTGGCAATCATATTTCTCAGTCTCAAGAGAGTGCTACCATGTGTTGCTAGTACACAGCCATCTGCAGAACTGGCAGTTGTTGGTGGCCTGCTTTCATTCTTGAAACAAAGAATGAGGTTTACAGAAATGTAAAATATCACTAATAACTTAAATATCACTTCACATCTTCAGAAATGGAAGGGGGCAAATTGCTTGTATGTTCCCTGAAGCATTTCAAGAATGCACTAAATTTATAATGGGACACTTAAGTTATATATGTTGAGAAACAGTGGAATGCTAAAGACAGATAAACACTAGAATAGGTTTTGGAAGGCAAATTTTAACATTTCAACTGTAGCAGTCTTTTTATGACCTGTTTAGACAAACATTGGTCAGAAATAATGAAGGCACAGATGATTCTACCTTGGAGCAGAAAGGTGGCTTATATGACCTTTGAAATGTTTTTACCCTGATTTCCTACTGTGATGGGGCCTGTGTGGTGTTGCTATGGGGTCTGTTCCAGTAAGCTGGACACATTTCAGAGTTGAGGCTGCCAAGAGCAAAGTTAAAGGATGCTGTGGTAAAGAAAGAGATAAGGAAAAGACCAGTTTCACTGCTCAAGGAATGAGTTTCTACTCTGGGAAAGGCAAATGCTTATAGCTACGCATTGATTTGATATAGGATTGTGAGACTGTATCAGTATTTGTTTTTTTCAGAAGCAGAAAGTCAGTGCAAGTTTGCAGAATCAAAGCCTTAATCATAGACACGTTTTGTAGTAAACCACGCAGATTGCTGCAAATGATAAGCACTGTGGCTCTCATACCTAAAAATACTGGCTGCTACTGCTATGGAGGTTTTCTTCTTCTTGTATACAGAAGACAACTTTTCTTGAAGTTTCCACTACTGAATAGACTTCTCTATGTCTATACAGAAATCAAAGGTAAAAAAAAACCACAACAACACCTCTAACACTGATAACATGATGCTTCAGAAACACATCCTTCCACAACAAGAACAATACCCTGCTTAATCAGAATGTTTTTCCTTAAGTATTCAGGAAGACAGTCCCACTACAGGTTGGCAGTCATTGCCACGTGTGTAGTTCCTCATGAATGCTTAAGGAGAAAGCTCAGTAACAGCTGTGAAATTACAATTGGGCGGTGAAAAAGTGCGTGTGAGGAAGTTTTGCTTCTATACCAGGTGTTCTATGGCTATAAATAATCGGTATTATTTGCAGTTGGGAAGATTCTTCAATAGCGGGTTTGATGCATATCTTACTGCATTGCTGTGGTGATGCATGTTGAAGGCAGCTTCTCCAAAGTAATCCTAACAATCTCTGAACTAAGAGCAGAATTGGCAGATTCAACATGGGAATGTTAGATAAAGAAGTGCTTTCTGGTCACCAGCAGGAATGAGGATAGCGAGAACCACCTAACAAATAGTTTGATAACAAATCAAACTAGCCCAGAATTTGCTTTGGTGGCTAATATATATATATATATACATATATATGTGTGTGTGTGTGTGTGTGTGTGCATATGTGTATATATACGTATATATATAGGTATGTATGTTTGCCATCCTAAATATTTAACTGAAAGTGAAATAAACAACGGCTCTCTTCTGGCAAACCACTTAACAACACCAGCAGACAACCAATCCAGCACTGCGTATGTAAGCACGCTCGCAATTACACGATTCCCTTCAGCTGAAGCGCTGCAGTTACATACGCAGTTGGAGCGGGGCCGGCCCGGGCCGCGTTATGCAAGGGCGGTGAGGGGAGGAGGCGGCGGCGGCACGGCGCAGTAGCCCGGGCTGCGTGAGCGGCCGTTACCGGGAGCCGCGGGAGGGACGGGCTGCGGCCGCGGGCGTTCTCCTTTCTCGGTGCATGGAGACCCGTCCTGCAGAAGCCCGGGTGGAACGCTGGGGCCGTGACGCCGCCGATGCCGTTGCGCCAAAACGATCGCCTGCAGCCCGGCAGCGCTCCCCCTGAGAGGGGCGGGCGGGCCGAGGGCCGGGCCCGGAGCGCCGCGTGCCTTTCCTTCGCGGCGCCGCTCTGCGCTCGCGCTCCCTCAGCGGAGCCAGGTGGCCGCGACAAGGTTCCTGCAGTGGTACAGGTGAGAGGCGGCCGCGGGCCAAGGGGGGGGGGGCGCGGGGGGGTCGGTTGGTCGGCCGGCGGGGGCGAGCAGCCCCGGGGCCGAGCCCGGCGCCGCCCCGCGGAGAGGCGCGGCCGGAGGAGCGCGGCCTTTGTTCCCCGCGCCGGCGGCGGGGCGGCTCGGC